TCTATGATACATACCCCTGTCTAGAAACCATTTTATACAGGGATATATAAATATATATTAAGAATATCTAAATAATTTTCACACTTTTAGCTTATTTACATCCTTTCTGTACAAACCACTCTAGTCAGAAACTTGTGCAACTCTTTCCAAATTAAAATTTACACAATCGAGGATGGCAGGGCAGATAGAGCAGAACCGTGTTTGGGTTGGTTTGTGTGCAAAACGCAACGTTTTCAGTTTTGGAATGGACGTAAAGTGGTCGGGATTTCACTACGATGAAGCGGACGTGGGTTTGAAGACGTGGAAGACATCAGCAGGAATTGTCAGAGGCATCATTAGCAAGGTTAGGCTACGACAGTGTGTCACGCAAAGTCCACCATCCGGACACGTTTCCAACTCAAACAATTCATGTGGAATTTCTCTTAACTTTCAAAACATTGAAATAAATTTCCTATGTCAAAAAATTCTGTCAAACATTTGGCATATGCCAAAAAGGCTACCAAGATGATGACAGAAGTCAAAAAGTTTCTTTCAGATGATGACTTCGCGTGAGACACTTGTAGAATATACATATATTGATATAGATATATATATATATATAGCAGCGTTAGCAGAATCTCTCAAATGTTTCAGTTGAACCCTCGGTGTCAAGAACTTGATACAACAAGGTGCCATCGACTTCACAGATAGCACGCTCGCAAAGTCAGCACTCAGGTCTTCATGGAACAACAACTATGACTGACAAACAGTAACGTTTCCATATCATGTCATTACTGACAGAATGTACAGTTCCCTGTCCTAGGAAAAATTTAGGATTCGTACAGGAGTTAACTTTGGCAAAGTCAAACATGAGACAAGGCCCCTTACTTTTGTAATGTTTCAAACCACTGTTCAATGAAGACCTGGCGACAGCAAAAATAGGTTAGTAACATTTTCCTATAAATTGATCAGAGTAAAAAAAAAGGCTTATCTACTACATTTATAGATGCTAGATCTTCATAGAATTCAAAGCATAAAATTTCTAAAAGCTTCCGTGTGCATTTTTTTTCTCGTCTCCAGAAGCAGATACATGGCCAACAGGCCCAGAAGATATTCACACTACACATATTGATAGTTCACACTTTAGAGTTATTGCTGCAATTTCGTTTGGCTTCTCTTCTCTTCATAAATACTCTCCCTTGTGCTGATTAACTCCCTTCTAGGGATAGAAAGTGCAACACCCAACAACGTCAACATACAAGTTTGTCCCCCACTCAGCTCCGTCTTTTTGCTTAGTAGTCATCTTATATAAGTCACAGAAAAATAGATTTCAGCCACGTTACATCTCAAATTCTTAACTAACTGGCAATAATCGTAACAGTGGAGAAAGAAGCTGACGTGGCTGTCTTTAAGTTCTGTAGGGTGCTACTTATAGGTTGCTGTGTCTTATAGAAGCGGAAAACAGGCCCTCAAAGCGGTGTCTGCAGAAGAGGCTAGGATCATTTGAACTGGCAAGCTTTCCTCACTTCTCACTTCTGTAAAACGTGAGATGCCAACTCAAAGAAGTAACTGAACCGTGTGGTTATTCGTTATTCACAACTTTTCCAACTGCCAGTTGTTAACACATTCTGGGTTCTTTCTTGAATGCACTGTTTTTTGTACAGAGTTCATCTCATTCTAACCAATCAGAATTTTCGACAGAAGGCAGAACATTTTGGAGGATTACAACAGTGGCAGTGGCACCTTGACATTGACCAAATACGTCTCTGGTTGGCAAAAACTTTCTGTGATCCGCAACAACAAAACTCTTTCATTTTTACAATTGTTCCTGCTGAATCTCTACCCCAAGAATGTACAGTATTCAAACTTGGTTTGAACGTCCGTGCTAAACACTAAAACTCTCCAGGTAAAACTATTCCAATATCTCTTTTCCTATATCAAGAAAATTCTGCAGAAGAAAATGAAAATGACTTCTTGAGTCCTAAAATCCATCAAGCTATTCTTCAATATTGTGAAAATTCTAACCACTGAAAAACATGCTCCAACCAGAGACCTTATCAAAGATTTAAACTGGTGGAGACTACAAAACCTCCTGCCTTTTTGATCTTGAGACTCTCAAGAGCTACATTTGTACATCTGATTCAATCCCAAGAAAACATAAATGTTAAGAGTTAATATTTGTTCATTCTATATGTTGGCAAGCATGCCCTTTCTCTGCAGCTGTGTGTATAATCTTATTTTATAGTCATATAATGAATCAACTTCATCATGAATCAACTTCTTAGTACTTAATCAAGCTTATCATCTGGCCTGCTATAAAATCCATTTCTTTAACTTCTAAAATTTGCCCAACTTCGTCCAACCCATGTCGGCAACTGACACCTTATCATAATATAGCTAGACCTATTTTGATACTGATTATCATGTATTAGTATTCTGCTGTGTTCGCTTGTGTTAAAGGCATCTACATGGTAGGAGCAGTCTTAGTTATGACTTTGGGTTGGCACAACTCCATTCCCAAAATCTCAAAGTACTTTCCCTACTTCTTTAAGTTCTACGTTCTATGTCCAAAGCAGAAGTAATCTAAGTGTATGTCTTACTAACACCTTGCCGTTGGGCAGACCACAAGATGAGCTTATTATCATTTTTCCTTATCTAAAGGTATAAATCCTTAAAACAGCTACAAATATTTTCTTCAGCACTTTTGGAAAACATGCACAGTTGGTATTAAAAGAGGTTTCAGGATCAGTAAGGAACGTTCTTTGTTTTTGTTGTTGCTGTTTTCAAAGAAAAGGTCCAGCTCCTCTGCAGACACTGCTTGGTAGGGCTTACCAGCGTATCATATTGGTTACTCAGAAAACCTTCATTGTCCCCTATTTTGTACAAAGCTGTGCTGTCACAATCCGGCCACGACAGCCCCAAGGAACTACTTTCCTTCGGCAGCGGGACACAGAGGGTCATGCGGCAGCCTCCTTGGTGGGGCTGGTCTGTGTGCTGCTGTTGGTGGTTGTATCCATGGGCTCGGAGGGCATCATTGGGAAGAAGCGCTCTGCAACGAAGAAGAGTGGACGGGGACTGTAAGAACACAGATGTGGTGTAAGTACAGTCCTCAACAACCTTGTCTAATAAGAGTTACAGCAATACTGGGCTATAATTACATCTAAATACAAGATAGGGCTAACTGTTTGTATTTAAATAGGGCTAACAGTTTGCCAATAAACGTCGATGAAGGTTAGACATCCAGGTAATACGATACGCCAAAAAACAGTTACTCAAGCAACTGGATATGATTTTGTAGTTATTGGCGAGTTTGCCAATAACTACAACTTACCAGCACAGGGAACTTTACTTTACAGTAAAGCATTTCTTATGGAAAGTCATTCAGCACCAAGGACAGTGTTTTCTTGGTGAGTCTTGGCAAGTCATAGATGCTGAAAGTTCTATATTACACTGTTACAATTACTATTGTCTTACTGGATTTGAATCCCAAGTCAGTTCTTGGAATTGGGAAGGGAAAAGGTAGGGAAGGCAGTGCAAATGTATATGATCTGCATGCATCTGTTTTAATGGTACCCACGTTTGGGCAAACCTAGCGAGGTACATTTTGTACATGGCTCCTTTCCATCATCCACTATCAGTCCTACTTGTAAAGCTCTGATGTTGTATGGTATATATTGTGTTCGAAGATGAAGGCAAATTTAAGCCATTTGCATATCAGTAAATTCAATGGCCAACTGTTCTGCCATGGCTATGACTGAAGAAATAACAGCAAAACTCACCTTCATTTAGCATGCCTTCCTCAGGGTTCATAGGTTGTACCATCCCTGTAACACACAGGTAACACTGATTATAGAAATGGTCTGTCACTACACAGAAAATACTATAAAGCACATGTATTTCATGATCCTGCAGTTTAATGTTGGGATCATGCTTTATAGTAATAAAGTCATTCCCACACTTCAGAGAAGCCACGTAACGAGTCTCAATGGGTCAGCCTATTGAAGACCAGAGTGACTAGTCGAAAACTCTTGGTGAAAACAATTATTTGTGTTGGAACAAAGGTTTAACTTTAAGCAAGCAGAGTTATCCATCTGAATTTTTTTTCACCAAGCTAAACTAGGTAAGGCCACACCAAGTAAATTTTATGGATGACGTCCTTTGGAGACCCTAAATCTAATGCGAGAGGGCGAAAAAAAAACAAGAAGGGCCCTAAAAAACAAGATGCCTAGATAAGAAATATTGCACTGCTGACAGGACCGTCCTGTCTGTTAATAGTTCCCAAAACGGCACTGTTTTGGAACTATTGACAGGATTTTTTTCAGTGCCATTTTGTTTGTTTTTTCATTTTTGTTTTCATTTTTTAACCAGGCACAGGCTTTCGGCGTTACGGGTTTCACGTCAATCTGGCGATTTGCGGCACTGTCGTGACTCTTTGGTCATAGTTACAGGAAGCGGAATTTCTTGTTTTTTTTTCTAGGAACAGGCCAAAATCAATGCGCGCGCGGACGTCATCCATAAACTTTACTTGGTGTGGCCTAACTGACAAGTTGTCTGTACTTGACTGTGTTTGGCTGTTTTGGAATGAAAGTTTTAACTTTAAACGAGTTATCCATTCTTAAGATTTTGAATGTCTGTCTCACCGGCCATCATGTTGTAGTCTGCATTCTCCTCCAGTGAGATCAACGGGGCTGTCCAGCGAGGGATGGGCGTGGATCTGGGCGTGGTCCGGGGTGTGGTCATGGGCGAGGCCAGCACACTGGGGCTGAGGGCAGTCATACTGACGGGGCTGATGTTGGGGTATGTCAGCAACTGATGGAACAGCAGGATACTGATGAACAAGGGGGGTAGGATGACAGAATAGAAGAGCCGGAGAGTAGGGGCAAGATTGCAATGAAAGCAGTGAATAAAGGCAGAATTAATGCAGCAATGTGTGAACAGCAATTTTAAGATTGTCTCTCAGCCTCAAAATGCACCTTAGAGGAAGAGGTCAAGGTTTCACAGGTGTTTCTCAACTAAATTTTCAGCTTGAAGTAGGGCTGCGTACCGGTTCACTGGACTTGGATCCGGACTTGTAATAATGTTTAGGTTCAAGTCCAAAAAAACCTAAAAGTCAAGAACCGAGTCCGGACTTATTACCATAAAAGACCATTTCACATACCCCTTTTCTTTCCAAACCACCTAAAACCTCCCATAGATTGCAAAATCTTTGCTGCAAAATGACAAAAACATTGCCATCGGGCATTGTAAAGTGTCGGCCTCCATGTTATGTGGCCAAAGTTTTGCCAAACAACATTGCAAGGTTGCCAACATGCAATTTTGTAAATTCCATGGGTTTAGGTCCGGACTTACGAATCCGGAACTGAACCTAAACCTCTGGACTTGAATCCGGACCTGCACCTAAATGTGGGTTTAGGTACACAGCACTAGCTTGAAGGGATTGAAGTGTGAAGGATCAATCTTGAGATGCCTGATTAACTTCACACAACATGACTGCAGGTATAGCTACAGGTAGCCAGGAGGAAATAAATTTCTGACAAAGCACTCAACATCACAGGTTATGTATCTGTCATTACACTTAGGCCATGTTGATTTGATTATATGGATGACATCCGCACGCGCATGAATTTTCGTCCGTTTCCCAAAAAAAAGTTTTCAACCATACTGTAAATCGTACAAAACAGTTGCAAAATGAGCAATATATATACATATAAATAAAATAAATAAAAACTATACCAATGTCGTAGAATGCCAAAATCAAACGAAAAAGAAGAAATTGTAAAGAAATGAATTTGAAGAGTAGATTATTCGCCAAACCATATTCTGTGCCATTCGTGCAACCTTCAAAACCACGTACATTTCATAATGAAAACGACTTTTTTTTTTTTGCAAAACTTTTTTTTTATTCGCACGCGCGCATCAGTTTTGGGGTTCCCGGAGGATGTCATCCATATAATCAAATCAACATGGCCTTATACACATGACCATGACACCTGTACACATGACCAGACAGCTGTGAACAGGTGTGTGCTCACCTGGTGCTGTGCCTGGGGGTGGATGAAGCCTGTCTCCGGCCGGCCCAGTGCAGCGAAGGGACTGGTCATGATGGCACGGTTGCCAGGTGGGGTGGTGGGGCAGGTGGAACCGGGTGCGCTGGCTGCACCTGGAACACATTTCATGAAGATTATGACACGGGTACAGGACCATGTCCTAGACACAAAAATGTTATGTGACTATCTTTACCATCACTTGTGGGGTCATGTGGCGTAAGGGTAGAGCGTTTGGCTCAGAACCAAAAGGTCCCGGGTTCGAACCCTGTCATGTCAACGATCTTGTGCCCTTGGGAAAGGCATTTTAAACGACTTTCCTGGATGGAGGCCTGGCGAACCCCATTTCGTATTAGCCACAAAAAGGCAGCAGAAGCTTCATCTAGTTGAAGGCAGCTGCCTCAAAATGTAAGAAGAAAGAAGGGGAACTTTGACTCACTTGACGTGGTGGTGGAGGTGGTGGGAGAAGGCGTGGCACTTGTCGTGGATCCGGCCCCTGACGTCACCAGGGCAACGGGTCGCGCCATGGGTGGTGGCGGGGGTGGAGGCAGCATGGTCGCAGGAATGAAGGGTCCGGGGCTGCACTTGGAGGGGTTGAACTTGTTCTCGTTCTTGCAGACCTGTGGGACGGAACGTTCCAGCTTTACCCAAGTCTCCCGAGTCCCGTGTGCATACGACTGTGGAGAAGGGGAGGGAGGGGGGCAAGCAACCATTCAGTCAATTCATGAGGGACTCGTATAGCACACATTTCTCAGAAAATCAACAACAAGGCCACACAAATTGAATGCATCAGACTAAAAAAAAATGCTCAACTGGAAAAGCCTAAGAACCAGGTTTGTGCTTGGAGCACTCAGTTTAGAGTAAAATATAGTCATTTGCAAGATTTTCTCCCTTTCCACCTTAAAGCATGTGAGATCTAAGAAAATATTGGTGTGGTCAAAAGGATGCAAGCTTTTTGATAAATTAATACACATTTACTGCTTGCCATGTGTCCTTCGACTGTCCTTTTTGGCCCAATATCTACTTGTAAACTCTTTGTCTATTTGGTTCATGTGTTCATAGACTCTCAAAGAAAGTTGGGACTCATCAGTGTGTACCTCTTGGTTCTGAGCCTCTTGGTTGCAGACGACTTGGACGAAGTCTGCCAGTGTGTTGCTCTCCGGGTTGTGGTGGAAGCGGAGGGGGTGCTGGTAGTACCCCCCTGGCTGCTGGAACGACCCCGCTGTGCTGAAGGCTAGAGCTGTAGGGTACACAGCACCTGGGGAGGGGGGGAGGGGGGTACAGGATGGAACTTACAACTTTAATTGAAATGACACGCTGGAGAAAAGGCTTCTTTTTAAACACATTCTAAATATCTCTCCACTCATAAAACCTCTAGTCTGGGTGCCATACCACGTGGTAGCCAGCAACATTAGGGAGCCGGTGGAAACTACGAAGGATGGCACCCGAGCTAACTTTCCTCATAAAAAAATGCAGATCAAACAATAGATGATCAAACAATACAAGCATACAACAAAATATTTTCTACCTTTAGTTTCTACCACATTGTAAGGTTGGAGTGTTTTGGAAACTGCATGCAACTTGAACTACGTCTTTCTTTAGCCAATCTCAAAGTTTCACAAGATCCCAAAAATCTGACTTTTTTTCCTCTCAAAATTTTACACGCAACACATTCACACGTACTAGCATATTAACACCTTAAGAAGTCATGCTCAGTCAGAATCAGAAGAACAGAATCACTATTTCTTACAACAAACCAACCGTATGGGGACGACCGTCACAGATTGGAAAAATCATGGGAAAGCAGTTAAGCAAGCAAGCAGCAGGGTCTCAAAAACCAACCGATTCATACACCATCAGCGATGGTGATCGTATGACAGTGGGTAAGAATCGGCTGTTGGCCACCACTATACCGAATGGCATAGCATGACTGCAATGTTTCACTCACAAGATAATCATTCGAAAACGGCTTTAACTTTTAACCCTAAGTCTACCCTAATCTTCTCAACCAAACCATTTTAAGGACAAAGGTAGACTTAGGGTTTAAGTATAAGCTGTTTTTAAATGATTATCTTGTGAGTCATTGCAATCATGTAGTACTATTGGTGATCAAGGACGATGCTGTACCATACCGTACAGCCATTGTGACCCATTTATATACTAGCAATCACCATAGCTAATAGTTTATGAATCGGTTGCAAAAACAAGTTAGCCACTTATCACTCTACTGATATACTGGTATTGCAATGGGAAACTGAACTGTCTGTACTGCGAAACATTCAGGGCTAAAATTCAGCCATCAAACATGTGTATAAGTTACTGTACATGTAGGTTTTGACCAGTGTCAGGTGATTTCAGCATTTTACCCCCTATGTAGCTGTGGATATTGTCATGATTGACCCAACTGGATGTTGGGTGGAAGAGTACACGTATGAGTGAATTTTTAGGACATACCGGTATTAGTGTGTATAAGTTGAGGCACTAGCAAAAGATGTACTATTGTCAAATTCAAGCCACATAGCTAGATTTTATGGTAGTCTGAGTGATAGGTAAGCTTTTAAATATACCTACTATCTGGACCAAGCAAGGTCAAAAGATACTTGTATCACACATCCCATAACTGAGCAAGTCTCATCATAGTTTTCTTTTCCGTTTGAGTAGTGTGGGGATTTGTGTATTTATGATGAATTTTCATGATCTGAGATGTTTTTGCACTTCCGTCTAGCTACTAGCTACCTGAGTCCTTTGCAAATGGGATTTCTAACCACTAGCTAACATCTTGACCATTCCATTCTTATTAGGAAAGAAAAGGTGACTATTTTTGTTTGATTTGCTTGGAATATTCAACTCTTTAAAAAATATTACAACATGATAGCCTTCTAGAAGGAGCTGAGTAAAAGATCTTGATTTGGCAGTTCAACTTCTGGGCCCAGAAGTCAAGAGAAGTTCCGCCACCACTTCTAGAATAGCGTGTATTTTGGTCCCAATTATGTGAAAATAGCTTCTTTTAGACAGGAGAAATACGCAAATAAAAAGTCGAAAATCATATATAAAAAAAAATTTAAAGAATCAGCTTAACAGAGAGGCTGTTTTTAGGAAGGCACTTTGTGGTCATTCAAGTTCAAAGGTCACTCCATTCAAGGTCTCACACCACTGTACCTCCGGGCCCAGTCAAAAGAACGCGATGCGGGAGAGCATGCATGGCGGCGGGCGTGGTTGCGGTTGTCGTGGGAGCCCCACCTGTGCTAGCAGGAGAGCCGAAGTTGCCGGGCTTGTCGGACGGCTTTGGCTTGGAGTGGATGACGTTCGGGGAGGGCAGGGCAGGGCTGGTACCTGTGGATGGCAAGAAGCTTCGTCAGCAACGTCATGCAGCAGCAAAGCCTTAGCCACATAAACACGGCCTTACTTCTCCTGACTACAGCTTCTAATGCTCTCATGTCTGCCCACTTTTAAAACAAATGTCCTCAACAAAAGAAATCGTCAGAAAACAACACAAATGTACGTGGATAAAATGATAGGCTTGTCTGAATTCCATTTTAGTACATTGAACAGAAATGGAGTTATTCCAAAATTTGATTCTGCAGCATTCCAAACTAAACGATTGATGAAATCTTTAATCTCTTTTACAGATAATTTTTGAAGAGAAATTCTTATCAATTGTCAGTTTTGACCACAAAGTGCATTCTTGTCTCAACAAAAACAGATTATGTAGAAATTTTGTACATGCTGTTAGTTTTCTATTGTATAAAGAAATATTAGACAGTGAACACAAATATGTAAGTACTGGTGCTTGTCTTAATTTTGGCTGCAGTTAGGAAATATCAAATTCAAACTCAAAACATGAGAACATTTAAAGTTATATACAACAACTGAACTCAAACACAAAAATATATCTACTACATTATCTTCCTATACACATGATCTATAGTAATACTATAGTAATAAAATTGAAAAGACAAATAATAGACAAGAGACACAAATGTTACAACTACATGTACTCATGAGTAGACAGAACAATTCTACCAAAAATGTGGTTAAATGTATTTACAAAGCACTTGTGAAATGTGCCACACTGAAACCTTATCACCCCCATCACCCTATATGTCCACTTTCTCTTTAAACTCTAGCCCCTTTCTCTCTATGCATGTTTACAATTTACATACAGTGTAAATAACATCCTTACTTAGGTCTTTAGCACATTTTATGTATTATCCCTTCTTTCACCACACAGTAGGTTGGTTTGTGCTATCAAATGTACAGTGTATGAGTGTCAAAATGTGATATAAGTTACTGTTATATCCGTCATAGTGTTTCTTGAGCTACATGTATGCCAGTAAAACCTTCTACCCAAACACCAAGTAAAACACATTTTCTTCTATATGTTAACAACTAAGACTATTACTTACAACATTCTTACAGTGTCAAACTCAAAACCATGAGTTCATACACAGAGAACAATCGCCTGTTTTTAAGACAAAAAGCAAGCAGGCAAGCAAGCATCTAAGCAAGGGAGTTGGAAAAGCTGCCGGCTTCTACAGAATGCAGTTGCTGCTGTGCTGAAATGAAAGGGAAAAACACTCCCTTCTCTGGTAGGTCGACCATCCAACCGTCTGCTTGCTAGTCCTACTTGTACATCAATGACAACAGAAGTCACCTACCTTTACATGGACAAAGGACATGTTCTCTTCCTTCAGGAGAGACACAGACTTAAGAACCTCAGACTGTTCATGTGACACTGAATAGGCCAGATTTATATCTTCTAAAGCATTCTGTTTCAATTGTTTCTTCTTTATATCTTTCTTTAAAATGTGCAAAGTGTACACAAATATCTTTTGAACAGGAGTATTACAGTTAACTTGAAATAAATCAGGCCTACAGTTGCATGGGCAGTTGTTGACACGACTCCTTGGAACCAAGTTGCTGTACACAGTAGCACATAATGTATGATCAATGTCTTCTCATGTGATTGTAAACATCACAAGAACGTCCTCAACTATTTGGGTACTTCCCTGTCAAATCTGTTAGGAATGCACAAGACAGATTCTGAACTGGCATTTTTCCTTGGCCAGCTACTTCAGAGCTGATAAATTAGTCCATGTTTGGTGAAAAGTTGTCTTCTTCAACTCAAGCTAATTTGTGTGCAATATCCTGGACCCGCCCAGTCCGTAGCGTTCCACATCACGTGCTACTGTGACAGAACCTGACTTCTTTCTGCTGAAGCAACTGAGGAGCATCAACTGAGTTGCACCTGGTTCAATATCGCTCTGCCAGCTAGAGGACTGACTGCCGAGCGAAGCCGGCGACCGACCGTAGAAGCTGACGTCCCCGTCCGCCTCTCCAATGCTATCAGCGTCGTCGTCCACGGACGAGAGAGAGCCAGCGTTTCGTTTGGGTACGGCTTGATGCTGCGGGGGGCGAGTCTGAAGGCTGCGACGAATGGCCATACCTGCGGACATGGGCTGCTCGGGAGGCATGCTGTAGTAGGTCGGACTCTCCAGATCTCCGATTGTCAAGTTCCCCACGCCACCACCCTGCACAATGGGTGCTGCAGGAGACAAAATACATTTATAGTTAGCACGACAAGAACTGACATATATCCTGCTCTCCTGCTCTTAAGCTTCCAATAAAATGTAACAAAGCATACTTCTTAACCTAACAACTTCCAAATTTGCTACATCTTATCCTGCAACACAACTGTGCTTTATGGAATGAACTGTACTTTACAGGAGAAGAGCTACAAAATTTCCTACTGTAGCTTCCTACATAGCTAAGTTATGTTATTTAGGACGAAGTAAACTACTTTCGAAATCCCCCCCTTCACAAATAGTAGCTGTCATGTGATACACAAATATACCCAAATTTTGAGCCTGATGACTAGCTTTCTCCCAAAGGAAGTAGATTCAGTCAGTCATCCCACGAAATGGTACATCCATTTTTTATCAATCCAACTAAAGAAAGACCGACCTCCCACAAATTTGCCTCGCTGATGCTGGGAGTTCGGTTCCCAGGGATGGCTGTAGGCAGTTTTCGCTCGGCTGGGATCGACGCCGTTTGAATGGCAGTGACCCTCCCTGGCCAATCCCGTTCTGGTTAAAATACCCGACGCAGGAGGAATCCACCGCGCTGGGTCTGAAATAAGGAGGACAGGCTTCAAGACAAGGTAGAGAGAGACGGGACTTACTCTTGGTGATTCGCTGCAGCTCCGCGATCCCGAACACCCCGCTAGTGATGAAGTTGTCGCTGCTAAGGACGGTGCCTATCAACGACAGAACACCAGGTTACAGGTCTGCTTCCCTGAAAGGTTCAGTCAACTCTACATATCATACACCAAATACGCTGCAGTACTCTTGTCAGTCACAAGGTGGCACTCCTGTACAGGGCAAAAGGGGTCCTTGTCATGGTAAGTAAAGCTGCAGAGCAAACCATGTAAAGTAGAGGTCTGTCCACCTATCCATGCCGGAATGTGGACAATGGGACCGCTGCTCAGCCGTTCGTTTCCACGGCATTCCTGCACGGGCAGCCTGGATTATCATCGTCTAGTCCCCCTGATTATGCCGCATTTCTGCCATCGCTTCTAGTACAAACATCTGCTCTACTGTGTCCTGATGTACTGAACTTCTCTTCCCTGGTGCAGCGTTTCTCACAAATGAAACATAATGATCTGAATTCAGACACCTTTTTGATGAAAGCTTGGATTAAAGGACCCCAGTGGTCGAAATACTTTTTTTCAGTGCTCTGCAATATTGCAGAAGAGTCAAAATTTTGTTCTGCAATTTAGATATAGTTTCTGCAAAAACATACTAATAAAAGACACACAAAAAACAGTTACTCAAGTAGCTGTATATAATTTTGGTGCTACCTCAGTGACACTAAGAGACTGAAGGAGAACTGCAGGTTTATAAGTAAGAACTATTGATTGATATGCAAATTAGTGAAGACAAATTTTTGGAAGTCAAAAAGCAAACAAAAGGTAGACAAGTCAAGACAAGGATGATGCAAATTAGTGAAGAAGCTCCTGTTGTTTCAGAACAGGAGCTCAAGTGTTGTCTGTCCTTGATGGGACCTGAGAGTGAGTTTGCTAAATTGAAAAGTATTGAATCAGGAGCCTATTTTTCCTTCTGCAAAATTGCAGATTGTAAAAATTTTTCTTCTGCAATCTTGAAAATCTATCTGCAGATTGCAGACTGCAGACAGGTATTTCGAACACTGGACCCTATTCTTTACATTTGGAAAGGGCCAATCAACTAATACATGTACATCTTGGGAAGGAAGGGGGAACTGTCTTTACAGATGGTTTGCTCAAACCCTAGCTCTATCATTTCATTCAGACATTTCTAAGCTGGTAACAAATTTTGTAAATTTTACCGACTACGTGCATGTGTAATATTATCGTCTCTCTCCATATTACAACTGACACAGTTACTGCTGGGAAACCTAAATGAGCGCTCCAGCCTTACAGCTGGGGGTAGTGTTGGGGATCAAACTCATGACCCCTGGCTCTTTCAATCCTCCATCTTTCTTCATCCCAAAGATGGGAACCCACCCTGAGGTCCCTCTGCTTCTCCCCATAAATCTCCTGCCCAGTGGGGAGGGGGGCATTTTACGTTTTAGCCCAAAGCTGCCGTAAACGTTGGAAAATCCAGGTTCTTACCGAGGAAATTGGTTTAATGAAAGTTGGATCCAGCTGGTGTATACACTGCGCCGTTCGTAATGTTTTGACATCAGCGGGGAGCGGTACGAAAACTCTCACCCGGGGAAGTTCTGCGCAAAGGTATGCACCAGTCGTAAAAACACCACGCTTCACGTATAAATATGGTCCGATTATTTCTTAGGAGTGGGATGTCTGCCCTGTGAGCTCACTCCTTAAACAAAACCCTTGGGGATGAGAGGAAGAAAGTACAGCAAGGTATCAAACTCCCCCAGGTTTCCATAAGGCCATGTTGATTTGATTATATGGATGACATCCGCGCGCGCATGAATTTTCGGCCGTTTCAAAAAAAAAAGTTTTAAACCATACTGTAAATCGTACAAAACAGTTGCAAAATGAGCAAAAATATACCGTAAGTTACAAAAAAAAACATACCAATGTCGTAGAAACGAAAAAAGACGAAATAGTAAAGAAATGAACTTGAAGACTAGATTATTCGCCAAACCATATTCTGTCCCATTTGTTCAACCCTCATGACCACGTAGATTTCATAATGAAAACAACTTTTTTTTTTGCAAAACTTTTTTTTTATTCCCACGCGCACATCAATTTTGGGGTTCCCAGAGGATGTCATCCATATAATCAAATCAACATGGCCTAAAGTTAATTTCTGTCCACAATTCATTAGCAGCAAAGTCTACATGTATGTGCGTGGGATAATTTCAATTATTTATTCCATTTCACTTTTCTTTTCAATCTTAGCCTACTTTTAAAACTAAGATACAGTGTCTACAGAAATGTCCAAGCTTTAGAGCGTTTTCAAAATGTTTAATTTTAGACCGTCTCGCAACCTTTGAGTTGACCGTCTCGCAACCTATAACTACTTCAAGAGATTCCTGTCGGTTTTTTCACATTTTTAAGAACAAGTGGTTATTACGACGCAGGACTCAAAACACTTTGATCTGCATACCTGCACTGGTGCAGGTAACATTGAAAATTACCTGCACCAGATGAATTTTACCTGCACCACTCAAAAGCTAGCATGGACCACACTAAAAGCTACATGCTACATAGGTGGGCACAGTCAATATATAGAGCTAAAGAAAGTGTATCTAAATTTTTATACAAACCTACTACTTGAACCGGTGCAGGTAGACATCAGAAATACCTGCACAGCTCCAATTTTACCTGCACTAACCTGCATATACCCAGTACATGGACCAGTGCAGGTTAGGTACAGGTAGACATCAGAAATACCTGCACAGCTCCAATTTTACCTGCACTAACCTGTATATGCAGGTGGTATTTCAAGCCCTGAAATGTCATACAGCCATTTTTTCCTTTCATATGTCTAGAACTGTTGTATGATCAATCTATCACCAAGAATGATTCTTTATTATAGATACGACCACAAAGCTGTCTGGTACTGACATTGATCCTCTCCAGGCGATGCCTTTTGTTTCTACCCACAGACCCAACTGTTACTAAGATGGCAGACGTGCAGGTATGTACTGGTCAATAAAATTGTGACCCGCAAGAGCTGCAAAATGTTTCCTTTTCCTTAGAATCTTCGCGGGGTTTGGATTACAAAATCCAAACAAGGACTTCCAATATATCCTGGTGGCTCAGACAGTAATCCAGGTTCAGTTGATAGATCATTGACTCGGTACAACTATTCATATTTTAGGCATGCTGGTCACGTTTAATTCACAAGCTTGAAGTGTATCAAATCTCCCATCTGCTGTTTAGTTTTTAGCAATAATACACTGTGGGCCGTTGTCAACGATACTGATTCAAGTCAGACTGGCTGGAAACTTCTTTCTTTCTATTGCCAGACATGATCAGACAGCATTCATGCAGTGTTCCGATCCATAACGACTTGAAAACCTGTGTTACGTTTACAACTGAAGTGGCAGTATATACCTCGGCTTGCCCGACAAACATGCTTCTAATTTGGCTGCATAGGTGGTTTCCCACCTCCAAATTTGCACAAAGCGAACGTGATGTCATTTTAACCCGATAGAATCTGGCTGGGCCATCACAGATGTGGGTGTTTGTCTCCTTTCTTCATCCTGATTTTCCCAGACGACTCAAGCATCGTTAAAGTTGCTCTGGTCATCTCTTAGATTGATTGGATTACTTTCTGAGACGCACAAGACATTGACATTACCAACTTAAGTCTGCTGTAGCTCCACAGATTTAAAACATTCTAGTCAATGTCTCACACTGTTCAACTTTCAGTTAACATTGTTCTGATGAGCAAACCATGTTAAAGCTCTATTCTTTATGATATTACCCCATAGAATACAGTATATCGAATATATATAAATAGTGAAGGTCAACATAATTTATTCAAATCATGACCTTATTTGTATAATTTATGAGGAAGTGCTAGAATAGCCTTTTTCGTTAAGATAAGGCTGTAATTGGATGGAGAATATGATCAACTGATACATGAATAATCCATGCAAATGAGGCTCTTATTTGCAAAATCAAGAGGTAAAAATGTATAATTCGTCCTTTCAAATTTGGTAATATGCAGTTTCCAGTAGACTTGTCATATTGTCCAAGTCTCAACTAGTCAACAGACATCATTGGCAGTACTGTTGTTCAATGAAAACCACACCACATTTTATACACGTTCCAGACAGCTTAACTTCTTTGAAGAGTGAGAACTTTATTTTTATGGAATGGGGGTGGTACAGAGAGCTGAGATAAGATGCAGAAATCCTTCAGACCCTCATTATTTCACTTGTCAAGAGGAAAAGGTTATGAGATGCAGTCTGGATCAGATAATGCTCAGTCATAAAAGACGTCCTTTCTGGAAGAGGATCAGAAACGCGGCGTCCCTGCCCTTCACACAGGTGGCGCTGTGGTGGTGTGGTCGTGTCGGAGGGACTGTCACGCACACACGGGGTGTCTCACGTCCCCGTGGCGCCCCGGGACACTGTCGCGCCACCGTGTTTTCCTCCCAGCCGGCATTACCTAATTAGAACCGACAGAGCCATTCCCTCTCTTCAAAACAAGTTCAGCCCTCCTAAGGGCAGAGCAGCCAGATTAGACCGGAGCTTTCTAGTTCAAGTTCAAGTGTAGCGTTGCCTGTCTGTGGATCACTCATTAGTTCCACCCGCAGACGTGATCTGAAGAGAAAACCACCACCTTTGTTACCTCCTGCCTCCTCTCATCAGACGGGAGATTGCAGGGGAGATTAGAGGGCCCTTGTTGCAGGATGAATGCATAGATGATTGAAACACCACTAAAGTAACACACAAACTTCCAACTCTCTGCGTCATTCTTACAGTAATGACAGCCGAGAATTACAGTACTTGACTTTCACTCAAGGGGTTCCAAGCTTTCAGATTGGCAGACAGGCAAAAATTGTGGTGAAGATAATATTCACCACCAGATAGACATCTTCTAGAGATCTGCAACATCCTAAGTTTGTCCCAATTACTTGTTCTGGTAGTAATCCGTAATGGCTTACCTGAGGCTATTTCTGACGACATCTTTAGATGGTTTTACAGTTTCTCTACAAAATGAGACCCCCTGGAATCTAACTTCACCAGACACACTTCAACAATTCAGAATGTGTCTGAAAACATATCTTAAAGGATTTTATGCTACTTTATACTGCTTTCCAAATCCTCAAATTTACAGCAATGGTAACTAGATGTAAAACTCTGTTGCAGGCTTCGATAATCCAAGATAAATTTCAGACAAGATAGACATATTTTCCACATTACCTTTCAGACTTCCCCTTACTTTTTCCTTATCTTAACTTTTCCTTCAATTTTGAAGTCTGCATAGAAACTTTTGTAACTCTTACCTACAAGATATTGTTGGAACACTCTTATCAGGGTTCGAAATACTTTTTTTTCTGCATACCTGTACTGGTACAGGCAACATTGAAAATTGCATGCACCACTGAGAATTTAGAAGTATGGATCATGCTTAAAACTGTTGGGAAACGATTGCCATTAATTCTTTTCTAACAGTTAATGCAGCAAATAGACATCCACATACACCTACATAATATAAACCCAGTACATGTAAATGGACCAGTGCAGGTTAGGTACGGATAGACATCAAATATATATAAAAATACCTGCACAGCTCCAATTTTACCTGCACCAACCTACATCATTTTATCTGCACCAACCTGAACCACCCTACATATCCAGGTCATATTTCCAGCCCTGACTTACATGTACATGTACCTACAAGATCTTGCAGGCACACTCTAATAAAATACACAGCTACCCACTCAAAACACCACCTTGTTGAGCAGAACCTCATCACCATGGCAACCATTGTCTCTAGGGCTGTGACCTTGCCTTGGAAACCTACCTTTTATGTCGGGGTCACTGGAAACTGACATGCTGTCCCCAGAATCACTGCCAGTGTTCTCTGAAAAATAAACAAGAAAGACAAACTTCAACCTTGATGGTTTTTCGGTATGTTAGGGAGGGGGGGGGGTCTGCAGAGGTGCTTGACTTCAGGGCTCGAAATTAACATTGTCCCAGTGTCAAATGACACTAAATTTTCAGCTTGGGACAATTCAAATTACGTTTCGGGACAATTTTGGGGCAACTGGAAAATTCTAAGACCATCCACGTCATTTGGGAACGCGATCCATCCATCCTGCTGCAGACTGCTGGCAGCCTATAAATATATAATACTCTGACAACATTTAAATTTGACCAATCAGGGATTCCAAATATCAGGGACGGTGCCATGCCCATGATATTATCATGTATTTCCCTACATTTACTAATAAAGTGGACTTCAAGTTGTACAAATTCAGTTGTTGTTTTCTTATTTTTGTCATCAACTTATTTCCTGAAAAGCAGGCTGGGACAGTCCATCTTCAGTTCGGGACAATTGAAATCTATGTTCGGGACAATTCTGGGACAATCGTGAAAAAGTTAATTTCGAGGCCTGGACTTCACGACCAACTTGTTTCAATGTTGGGGTCACTGTCACCTCTGCATTATAACTTTAACTGCTGAGGAATTGTATTTTGTGATGTGTAACTATATCTTTTACAGCAACTGTTTTTAGACACTTTGCCTTATGATATTTGTAGTAAAATGGGTGTCAACAATGCCCAAAGGGAAAGAAACTTTTTTTTTACTCCTGCTACTATACTACTAACAAACGTTATTTGGCTGAACATTTAGCAAACTTTCTTAATTAACTGTTTAGATAGATTCAGGAAAAAAACTGATAATGATAGGTTAACAGTCAAGTAGTAAATCATAAAAATCAAACTTCTTGAATATAGTATACCTTAGTAATTCACACACATACATTTGCACCCACTCCCACACATACACATACACATGCGCACGCACGTACACACACGGCGACAGAGAGAGAGAGAGAAATGAGTACATATACACATCACACTCCAGGGCAAACTGGAAAGAGCGCTGGGGCCTTCTCTCTTTCTCCCCAGTGCATCTAGATGGCTAAAACAGGTGGCGGTTGCAGTTGTGTCAGGGTGGGGGCACATAGTTGGTGCGCCCCTGCTGTACAAGACTGACAGGGAAGACAACAGTGGGTACAGGCTGTGACAATACAGATGGAAACAGGAAGAAACAGACATGCCCCACATGGGGTGGGAGGGCAAAAGAACCAAGGCTATGCTACTGGCAAAGGCGTGAACTGCTTGAATGACACCCTTAAACTTAGTTAAAGTGTTAACGTTGATTGAATCTGGCATACTAATATTGGTCTGGCTTCCAATACAAATACCAATTTACTGGACACTTAAAATGACTTCCAATGAGCTATGATAATGATGCCATGCTTGTTGCTGTAAGAAGTAATATCATTACAACAATGGCCAACCTGTTACAAAATTGCTGCTACCAGTGTACTGTTTTGTTCCAAAATATCACATATATTGCTCAATTAGCCTATTATAGAGAAGGGATTGTTGCTCCTGGATTTACAACTTAATAAGATACTCCAAATTAGTCTGGTCTGGTGAAAAATATTATATCACTCAAGCAAATCAGCAATTTCTAACAGGAGCTATGGAGCATTTTTTGTCATGAGAAGCTGGTATCACATGACCTCAGCAGACCAACCACTGCACAGGATGTTTCCAAGGGGAGTTAGGATACTCACCCATATCCCTATTTGGCTGCTCTTCAAGTTTAACCCAATAACATCTCTAGAAATACCAACCATTATCTGAAATTGCATCCAGGCGACTGGTCATACAGCCATGGTGCATAGACAGCAGTGTTTAGCAAAAGTCCTTCAAATTAACGGAAGGTCAAGATCACCTTCTACAGGGCTTTTCTGGGAAAAGTAGACTTTTACCCAGACACAGCAAACGTCATATTTATAACTGCAAATAACTCAACACAGCCTCGAAGATTGTGATTTTATGACATTTTTTTTCTATGCATAGTCAATAAAATGTTACTGATAACATTGTGCAACAAAGAGTTTGGCCTTTATGAAAATGATACCAATGAATCTCACAGGTGAATTTGGCAATCAGCTTCTGGAAGCTTCGAAGGTGGGGCTTTTGGAGTGCGTTCAACTTTCACTGGGTAACCCTACTCGACACTGGATACCAACACAACAGCTATATATATTTACACATCTCCACTACTGGGAGAAATTAGCTTGCACGAAGTAGCTACGTGCTCCCAGGACAAGTTCAACGCTCTGCTTGTCTCCATCATAAAACAACTTGTCCTGCACCTGTTGACTATATCTGTGTCTGTCGTAAAGTTTTATTTTGAGAAAAAACAGTCTATAGGAGTTTTCAAAACAGCAACATTTTAAAAACTTATCAGGCTTGATAATTCACTGGTATACATAGTTTTAATGTTAAAAGCAGCATTTACTAAGTGAGAGTAACTTTTGTTGTGAATTTTAAATTAACCAATTATAACTGCTGCTCAATTCTGACAGGATGGAGGTTGGCATTAAGAGACTTTAAAATAAACTTTGCGTCAAGCCAACTAAAAATAAGCTGCAAAAGACTGGTACTAACCAACCTCGTGAGCATTTCTTTCTGAACCTGCGGCTTCTTGAAATAGCTAGGGAACTGCTCTTACAATGAGGGCCCAATTAGAACCAGGACGTTGGGATTTTCCCTGACAACAGTTCAGCATTAAGTGCTCATTACCTTTATCCACACAGGTCTGAACTCCGACAGTTTTGTCAAAGGCCACGCAAAGTTTGCTGGAACTGCGACAAACAAAACTGGAGGACAAAACTTTCATGTTGAGAAGTGTAACTATTAGCATTCTGAAGTAACCATTTGGCTACCAATTCTCCATTGGCTACTGGGTTAGGCAGCTGGGAAAAGGTTAAGGACAGTTTCAAACTTGTAGAGATGGTAATTAAGATGTAAAGGGACTCGTGAAGGTGGTGAAGTTGTGTTCCAGGGTGAAATTGTGTTCCGGAGCACATTCAGTCTTCACTATACTACATTCAGTCTTCACTGTGAATCTTTTGCAGAATTTTTGGTCTATAATCACACACACCCCCACCTGGTGCTTCAAACCTCCCCATCCTAACTGCCTGCCTGCGTTCCGACTCATTAAAACATAATTAACACCAGGCCACATCTGTGCCATCATTTCCCCTCAAGGTCATTGCTATACCTTACAGTAAATAAAACTGAGGATGGATAATTGAAAAATATACAATGTAGGTGTAAAATTCCTCATACTTTTGCCATCACAAAGCTGCAGTTTTTTTATGTGGATATGATCAAGCAGATCTTGGTAGCAAACTCTGGAAAAGAGAGCTAAAATTGCTCTGGTGTCATTATACCCATGGTCAGTTAGGAAGTCGCATGAGGGATACATTCTGTCTATAAACTATGTGTCCCTGCCCTGCATACAGGACACAGGCTATAGCTCACCACCCCTGCTCAGTGGGAGGGGCTCCCTCTGGTCAACCTGCCGACCTTGAGACAAGCTGCACGACCTTGTCTCTCGCCACAGCCAGGAAATAGAGGGGGAGGATAATCCCTGATTACCTAATTCTACTTGGAAGGTTCGAAGGGATTAACTCTGACACAAAGATGGTCCAGGTGACTCTGTTCTAGTCTGCACGCCCCCTTCTTTAAACGACAGGCGAGGAATGATAAAATAAGAGATACCTGTACATGAAACCATCCTGAAAAAGTCTTTAAAAGTCTTTGAAAATCACAAAACATACAAGTACTCTGATACCAGTACTAACATTTGGTAAGGTCTAAAGCTAAAAATACAGCAGTATAAAAACATAGAATAGCCTATTCAATAGGAGTAAATTCTGTAAAAAGCATCTACAAATGCCCCATTTATGCATTAGACACTGCGGACAGAAGGTCAAGACATACTTTATTGATTTTTTGTTGTGTTGGGAAGGGGTGTCATAAAAAAAATTCAATCAAGGCCAGAATACCATTCATACAACTGAAATGTCCACAAGGTACCTGCAAGATTTACTTGCACTGCATCGTGAAAAGGGATAAGCCCTGGGGATGGAGGGAAGGAGGGGATGCTGAAGAGCAGTGTAAGATGTGTGGAGTGGTCAGGCATGTAGGAGTCAGGACAGAGGCCATCTGTGTGATCAGGGCAGGGCGCGGGGGTTCAGGGTCTGGGTCATCCTCACTACCTCACGGTCACAAGGTCACACGAACTGCAGCATGTCAGGGACACAGGGTCAGACTCACCATAAATCACACCCTGGTTAGAAAAATCCCCAGGCACCAGGGATGTGGGAGACCCTTGGGAGAGATACTGTAAATATTTCCCTTCCTCATGATTTTACGTTTAAACTTTTATATCTTATCAATACAAAACCAGAATGTACATTGTTGTGTTTTTCACAGCCATTGGTAGATTTGGATATAAACATTTTTGACTCAGCAGAAAAGTTCTTGACAACTTACTTGAGGCAACCTGCTACTGAGAACAAGACTGGAACAGATTAGTCACCTGTGGGCCTCTCAAGGTTTACTTTGGCCCCCCTCCCCCCTCACCACATGTCAACTCGGCAGTAAACAATTTCCAAACAGCAGGACGTTGCAAAACCTTCACAACCAATATGTGGAGTTCAATGTCAACTTCCAACGTGCGTCCGAACAATCAAAAATTCATGCTATCAGAGTTAACTTGCAGTCAGCCCTCTATGAGAAGGTATGTTTCATGTATATGTTATTATTGTTAAGAAGTTGAATGCAGTTAATCCTTTTCTTTCACGGTCTACTACAATGCCTCTATTGTAGAAGTTCACAGATAGTTTCAACTCTTCCAGTATATGTATACGTATTCGTGTACATGTACACCAGATTGCACTTCTTCCTTAGCTGTAACTGAGGGTATCTAGTTTTAAGGAGTTTAAAGCTGACTTGCATCTATACTGCATGTCCAGACCAAGAGATT